CTTTTTTGTGATAGTCTTCTATGACACATAATGTAAAAGACAGCTTTCAGTCTCTGACTCATGTTTATGTTTGTTTGTCTGACCTTATCTTTTCCAGTGGAAGAGAGGATCTGTCATGTTTGTATCCAGGTCCATAATTTAAATTTATAGTCTTTAAATTTTGAAAGCCTGGAATATTGAAATTTAGTATTTTGCAATGGAACTTAACAAGTTAGCCAATGCCTGCAAAACAAGTAAAAATATCTATTTCATAGTGCATTGACAGTGAAATGCAATGAAATTGCATAAGGTGTGTGAATCAATCTGCATAAATATTTACTGTTTTAATGAACTCTGAATTTATGGGTGTGCATATTGAAATGAGATAATTATTTTAAATAGCACCTACGTGTTTTTAGCTAAAGAGACTGTGAAATTGCATTTCCTTAAATCAGCCCCATGTTTGTTTGTATGGGTTGAGTGCACACCGCAGGCTGTCAGAGAGCAGAGGCAGCCGTAGAGAAGCGAATACCAATCTTGTCTTTCTGTTCTGCAGTTGTGGGGTGGGGAAGGCAGGGAGATGAATTTCACACCAATGTGAACACTTGTTTTGTAAAGTGGATTATTTGAATTTCACTCCCTGCAGCTTGTGAAGAGTAGGCTGTACCATGGAAATGTAGACTGAGAGAGACCTCTGGAGGTCTTCTAGTCCAACCTCCTGCTCAAACCAGTGCTAACTTCTAAGCTGAATAAGATTATCCAACCACTTGGTTAAAAAAAACATTGAAAATCACCAGGGATGGACATTCCACAGCCTCTCTGGCTTTTATTATGAAGTATATTTCTTTATAGCTGACCAGAAGTTCCTTTACTGCAATTTCAGGCTACTATCCCCTGTTCTTCCACAGTGCACCTCCGGAAGAGGTCTAGCTCTGCAAGCCACAGTTAGGCACAGAAGACAAAAGTTAGCCCTCCCCTTTCGCAAGCATGATAAAGTCTGTTCCTCTACTGGACTTTCCCATTTTGAATATATTTCTTGAGCGGTTTGTGGGGCTCAAAAGTAGTGTTGTCATTCCGGATATTTCCTCGTGATGCTGAGCAGAAAAAAACAAGCACTTCCTTTGCCTTCTGGCTAAGCTATTACTAATGCAGCTGCGTATGTGGTTTGTCTGCATTGCTGCAAGGAGATACTGCTGACTCATGTTCAGCTTCAGATCATTTCCTAGTGAGCAGCAATACAGAAAGACAGTTCCCAGCCTATTGGAATGCATGAGCTTATTCCCTCCCACATACAGGGGTATATTTGTCTCAGATACAAGAAAACTTCTGGTTATTTTGGCTTAAGTAGATTCACAGTTAAATTTCCATCTTTGAGAAAGAAAAAAAGCCATCAAAACTTAAACTGATGTCATTATAAATATAAATTTACTTTCTGTTGAGCATTTCATGCTTATTATAATTACAAGTACATCATAGCAAAGATATTTTTGCACAAAAAGGCATTGAAAACACTTGATTTAAGCTATGTGGCCCTGCAATAAAAAGGGCCCTTGGAGTGTGCAACTCTGTACAGCAAACAGACTATAAATACTCAGAAATATGCACTATGCAGATGGAAATGTACCATGGCTAAAGTATGCCATTTTATGTAAATAATTAATTCCTCCCAAGAGTTCTACAGGTGCCATAAAAATTAATTCACTGTAGCACTATTACAAGGGCTTAATTAATTAATTTACTGCCACCACAGTTATCAGGAAAAGAATATGAAGATCAGCTGGATATTTTTTTAACTAAACATAATCTCACGTGGTTGTTTTCAAATGTTGGTGATAGCCGGATCCAAGCATGTACATTCTTGTACCTCCTCTGCTGATATACCAGACTTCCTCCTTTCATTGTGTTTCTTGTCTGAATCCTATTATGCAGCCTCCTAGACAGCATCAATAGAAAGCTGTGCTGCTTGGGATTCATACTGATATTGTTATCCAGTAATTAAGGTAGGGATCAAAAAATCTTCTATATGTGGGTTTTTCATATTACTTACCATCATCTGTTTATCTCAGCACTGAATTTATCATGACTGGACTGACATATCATTTGATGTAAATTAATACAGTGGCATTTGTTCTTTCAGATAAGGACATGCTAATAGATAGATGAAAAAAACTAAGTTTCCTTTAAATGTATGACAGTTTTTCACCCAGACATTTAAAAACAGATGAGGGCCAAATATTACCCTAATTATGATCTTACTGTATGATAATTTCAACAAGGTCACAAGACTTTCCTCTGCTTGTGTGGAGGGCAAACTGTTCTCATACAGAATATTAATTCTGAAAGAAATAAGCATTCTATTTACACATATAGAAGAATTTCAAGTCTTCCAGGAAATCTGTTTGAAAACTATTTACAATATTAGTATGCAAATTATATACTACACACTAAATGGGAATCTTGCAGCAGAGCATTCTGACAGGCATCTCACTATTTGAACTATGGTAGTCCAGTTAAAAAAACAACACAAAAACAAAACACAGCTGGATATAATTGTATCCAAACACATACTTATTATGTTAATGGGGGCATACAAATAAAATGAAGTGTTGTCCAGCAAAGGTTTTCCCACAAAGACTCTGAGTTATTTTAGCAAAATGTTCAAATAATGCAAGCTTTTGTGTTTATTTTAATTGAAAAGATGTTTGATATTTATTCCTAAATATTGACAGATGAAGTGTGGCAGCTCCAGAGAAGCAATGAATTCCATCTCATACTAAGAATAATTGTAATAAAGTACTTCAGTTGAGAAGAAAACATAAATTGTGGCCCCAGTTACATTAGGTACTTTCAGTTATATAGTATAAATCAAATTATGAGAGTGGTATTGTGTAGAGGTAGTCCTATATGTCCTAAACTCCTATCATTACCTGACGCTGTCAGAGTAGTTGATAGTCCCTTTAGCTTCCTTCCCTTTTGCCCTAAAGCTTCCTGATACTTCCCGGCCTTTACCTTCCTGCGGGTGCTCTACTGTCAGGTTCTCGGTCACACCTTGGTCAAGCTTCTGCCCTTAGAGCCTCTCCTGAATGCCCCTGCTGAAGTATACCATATCATCTTTACTTCAGAGAGGTAATAAACAGCCAGGTTTCAGTAAGAATCCACTAGGTGCTGTAGTAGGTCAGTACTGGGTTGGGTTTCCCTGCAACCAACAAAAGCTTTGCCGTTATTTAATTTCTAAAAATCTGCCAGAATTTCTTGTGTCCCTAGCATCAGCCTGCAAAATTCTGGCATGTAAGTTACCCAGGCAGGGTGCAAGATCTGTCTGTACCTATTTACTGCTGGTAGGCTCGAAATCTTTAAAAATAAGAGGCTTTGGATGAGGTTTGTTTGTTGTTTGTTGTTTTTTTGTGGTTTTTTTTCCCCTCTCCGTTTTTAGGACATGCTTTTAACAAACTGTAACTGAAAACTGAACAAATAACAGTTTGTGCCTTATGTAAGTGTGCCTGCTATTCAAGTTGTTACATTCAAAGGCTGTAGATGTTGTTAAAGCCCTTCTTCTTCACTGCCAGCTGCTGCTGTAATCCTAAAGTAGATGCGCTGGGGTTTTTTTAAAACTTTATATCTCAGTATACTGGCCTGGGAAATTGCTTTCTGCCTTTAAATTGACCATCATGCAGAATTTTCTATTTTTCAACCTGTCTTTTTCTTTGAGAGTTGCAAGTTACTCGGAGTTTAAAGACTCCCATTTTCATTCAGAAGCTCAAAGGATACCTTCACAAATGTAACTCAATAGGAGTGTCATATGCAGTCTTGAGAATATTATCTAAGTGCCTATTTTTAATTTTAGACATGAGGAACTGTTTATACTGCAAATTAAATATGATCAAATGCACATTAATTTATTACTTTAAAATAAAAACTTATTGATTTAAAAAAATACTTGGTTAAAAAAATTCAAAACTCAATCTATCTAGAGTATTTTCCAAAGGCAAAGTACCATTGCTCGGTTTAATGAAATCTATTTGTTTCTTGGCTCTATTTATATAAGAAATTTTTAAAATTTTGTCTGTGAAGATTTACAGCCACATCAAGCATTTTACATTATGATAAGAAGAAAGAGGCTGTATCATTAGTGTGATAATAAATTTAGCTAGGTTGTTGAGCAAGTAAATTTGATATCTAGGTACTTCCATTAAAAAAACCAACAACCTACTTTCACTAAAAACTTGTACTTTCAGCTCTAAGTCTCAAATGTAATCCCTCTAAAATCAATAGGAAAAACTCACCCGAGAATAAAACATTCTTTATTAGTTGTTTCCAGCAATGCATGAAGAACAGATTTATGCACAGATTTTGTACTTAGGGGAAAGTGTCAAAGGAAGATGAATTAGGAGAAACTAGGGGACTTGTGTACTTTGGGATGCTACAGAGTTTTGAATCACTGAAAGCCGAATCAGATGTGTTGAGAGTCATTTTGTTTAGACTTCTGGTTAGGCTGCAGAAGCCTGTTTTGTTGTTTTGGTTTGGTTTTTTCCCTTTCTTTTCTGAAGAAACAAATCCCATTTTGGTACCTTTTTTCCCCATTTTCTTTTAAAAGAAGATCATCTTTAAAAGTTGACCCAAAATCAGGTGCTCCTGAAGGGAGCCTTAGGTTCACAGCTGAGGTGAGTATTGCAGAATTCTGTTTATTTTGTCTAATTAGGTCAACTGTGCTACTTAGAGGGATATCTGTAATGCAAGGTATGGCTTCCTTGGCAAAACCAAAGCAGAAACATGTGATTGACTTCTCTTGAGAATTTATTTTGTTTCAAATTCGCATTGTCATACATTCTAAGCATGTGGTCTTCAGTGCCTCATTCCATAGGGACTCTACAGGGACCACTGCAAAAGGACATCAAGTTATTATACATCTCTGTTTATTTATTTTTTAGTCTTACACACTGAAGAGGAGTATCTCAATGAAAATGATATGGAATTCCTTCACAGGTTTAGTCTTCTGCTTTCCTTTCTTTTTCTTTTAATAGCCTGGATGTGTAAACACTACTGAAGTGGATATAAAAAAATCTTCAAGAATGAGAAATCCACATAAAACAAGAAAGGTAAGTACTGTTATTATATCAAAAGCAGGAGGTAGAGGAAATCTATAGCATGAAGTTCCATAGTTTCTTAAAGCATTTTTTTTCTTACAGCTGCAAGGAGCAAATGCATGAACGTATGTTAATATTTCATAAGCTCTTAGTTGCGTTAGTATTAACAAATTTGTTAATTCTAAGTAAATGCTATCACATAAGACTTTGGAGAAATATACAAAGATTTTGAAAATAAAATTCATTTTTGCATGCTTCATTTATGTTGTTTAGCACATTGAATAAAGCATGTTAAAATGTTTCTGTCAGAAATTAAGGAAAAATAAATTAAAAATTCTGCATAATAGTTCTTGTCCTGCTCTTAATGAAAAGGGTGTCTCTCTTTGACAATTGTGCCCAAAATGGTTGACCAGAAATAGTGGAGGAAATTAGTTTCATCTAAATTAGGATCCAGACATGATCAGTGTAACTTCTCTAGGGATATATAGATGGATTGTCTCAAAACTTTCTTTTTAAATCCTTTGCTCCATAGTAATGTAGATTGACTCCCACTTGAAAGTACTTCCTTTGAGGTACGTTTTCATGTTGACTTATAGAAAAGTATGTTTTAAAAAGGAAAGTGGATTTAGAGAAATTTTAGTTTGCCTTATTTATGGTGGTGAAAGGTCCAGATTATTGTATTTACCAGGCAGTAATTGCAAATTTGAGAGTTATCTAAATAGTTCGTGCAATAGTCTACCTTTCAGGGTACTCCTACTACGAGTCATCTCCACTTACTGTAACAGCATCTCTCAATGTCATCCCCCATGCTTACTATGCTGTTAATATAGAGATATAATAAAAGTAGATCCTTTGTTCTATGGCATTTTGAAATTGTGGGAATTGGGGAGTATTTATTTTACACCTAACTATACATGCACAATTTTATCTGAGTGCATGGTTTATTGCAGTTTCTTTAAAAAAAGATGATATTGGCTAACTTCTTGAGCACAATTTACTAAAGCATCACAGTTACTATGAATATTTGTAGAAAGCATTGTCTGAAAGCAACTATCATTGTTCCATATTTTTTGCATAGTCTGTCTATGGCTTACAAAATGACATTCGAAGTCACAGCCCTACCCACACGCCAGTACCAGAGACTAAGCCACCCACAGAAGATGAACTACACCAAGAGGTTTGAAACATAACTACAAATGTGTACTTTTAAATGAACTTTCTAGGAAAGTAGGTATTAAACCAAAAATTATTTTAACTGGGAAGTTGTTCAAAACAGCTCTAGCAAACATTTAATAAACCTTTTCTTTGTTTCAAGATATATGGATTTAGGCATGTAACTTCATTAAAACTAATGAGAGAAAATTTGACATTTTTTGTATCTTGCATTAAGCATCTAAAGGCAGTGAGCAGCAGGCCAATGAGTGGGTTCTTTGTATAGCTAAGCCCATTAGCCCCTTCAGCAGTAGACAGCTTGCTCTTCCTTTTGACACTAATTTGAGGTTTGGGGGTATACTTACCACTCCATGTATGCATGGTTCACACATTTATCTACTCTTAAAGCTTTGTTAATCTTTCCTGAGATGTTAGAATTCAGAGAAGGTAAATGGCTGATGAATAAGTAGCTCTCTTCAAATATCAAAAAAAAAAAGGCTAATTGGATTTCTGTTGATGAACCTTTAGGGAAAATTTTATATTGGCCACATTTTTTGTCTTTTCTCTTTAATGGAACATTCCATTTATTTTAGAACTACACTGGTGAAATGTTGTTTTAATTCTGATATATTTCTCTTCTGTGCCCTAGGATAAATTAAGGTTCAATTATAGCCCTAATAAAAAAAGTTATAGAAATCGATTCAAGCAATAAATTACTCATAAAACTCTTTGCCTTCCTTTCTTGCAGATTAAGCATTGGCAAATGCAATTAGACAGACATAGATTAAAAATGTCAAAAGTTGCAGAGAGGTACGTATATTGTCACATTTTCTGGTTTTTCAATTAGACTGATAACCATTGGGAAAATGTCAGTATGAAATAGCTTCAAAGAGCTTTTCAGAGCAAATAGCTCTTCAAAAAGAGACATGGGAGCTCAGACATCATAGAAATAACTGATGAAAATTTACTTTAAGTAGGGAGGTATGAAGTTCTTTTAGTAATAAAAGATGGCCTGGATATTCCATGATACATTTCTGATAAACCCAGTAGTCACTGGGTGACCAAGTGATCACAAGTTTCATCTTGCATTGACAGGGAGGTTAAATGGAAATTGGTCTGGGGTTATTGTTTTGCTATTTCAAAATGGCAATCACTGATAAAGCAAGGGAACTGATTGGTGTAGAGCTTAGTCACTGCTTGAAAAAAATGAACCTGAGCTTAGTGTGGGTCAGAGGATTCCTACAGTAGTAGGAATCTTTGTCCAGATAGGACCAAAATTTGGCAAATTTAATTTGTCAAATAAAAGTCCCTTGGGAAGACTAACTACAACTTATGTAGAGAAGAGGTGGAGAAAACAAATGTTCTATCTTAAACATCAAATACACAGATAGCAAAAATTGCAGAAAATTCAGCTGCCTAAGGCTTAGTAAAGGAAACTAAGCCAAATACAAATTGTTCTTCATTCTCTCATATACGTTTGTGCATGTATGTCTACTTATATATGTGTATGTATGCATACATATACAAATACATATATTTATTTATAAAGAGGGCAGGTTAAGTATTTTCATTTGTTGAGCCATAAAAACAGAATGCTGACCAATAGAATATGAATTGAAATGAAAAAAAAGAATAGTTGTCCTCACCTGTCAAAAGTTACAAGGCCAAAGGAAACAGAAAACAGGAATAAGGAGATGTAAATTATTACATGGGAGATGTAAATTATGAAAATACAAGCAAAGTTTTTAGTGTGTTTAATAGAGTCAGACCCATTAATGAATACCAAATTATTTCAGAAAAAGATTCTGTTTATTTTGGAAAACACTAAACTTGGGAGAGGTGCCATTGGATTAGGAAATAATAAAAATATTAATTGTTTTTAAGAGAGGATAAAAGGAGTCCTAGCAGGTATAGGGCCCGTAGATATGACCTACATGGCATGCAGTGTTTTAGAACAGATTTTAAAGGAACTGATAATTAAAACCATAGGGGTATAAAACATGTTCATTTATGAAAACAGATCTGCATGTAAGAGGTTGCTTGACTTAATTTGTTAGTGCCTAATTAACGCCCTAAAAGGAGCAACGTGAAAGTATTAGGGAAGTCTATTTTATTTCAACTCTTAATATACCTGAGCCACCCCTTCTTCAGAGATCCACTTTTAAAAGACTTTAGCAAAACCATTTTACCCTGAGCCTGTAGCTAACTTCTGAGTGTAGCACACATGGTTACCATGGTTCAACTGATGCAAGGTAACTTGTTAACTGGGGTAGCTTGATCAGGTTACTACACCACCTGACATGACAATGTTTGATGCTTTTGTTTTCCTAGTCTATTAGCTTATACAGAGCAGTATTTGGAATATGATCCTTTTCTTGTGCCCCCTGATCCATCAAACCCTTGGATATCAGATGACACCACTTTCTGGGAACTGGAGGCAAGGTATATAATTTTATTTCTTCTTTGGCAGTAAGGGGGTGTAACATGCTTGCTGGAAATGTGAAGATTTCAGAGGTATTGCAGAAAAATACTGAGGTAGAAGGGCAATGCAGTATCTTCTTGCTCTTTCCAGCTTTACAGTTTTGTAAGATGGGAAGTGCTTTGGATTAATAAATCTGTGTAAACTGTTACATTAACCAGTTTACAGGATTCTAGTATGGTGAAAAAAAGGACACCTTTTAAAATCCGATAACATCTCTAGGTGGAAGTCTTTACTGTTCTGTGTAAAGACGTGTATTACCTTCATCCTGTGTAAGTACTAGCAGTCTGTTTGCTTATCTCTGAATATTTCACAGATATGAGCAACCTAGAAGGTGAGAAACTTGTGGTTGAACTTTAGTACTTAGTCTAAATTATGAACACAGAATATTAGAATACTGAAATATTGCTCACTTTGGGTTCTGTTGGTTTTTTTCTTCTGTAGCAAAGAGCCAGGACAGCAGAGGGTGAAACGATGGGGGTTTGGCATGGATGAAGCTTTGAAAGACCCTGTGGGAAGAGAGCAGTTTCTGAAATTCTTGGAGTCAGAATTCAGTTCAGAAAATTTAAGGTAAATGAGAGGTACTTTTTTTTAAAATAGTTTGTAAGATATATTTTTGTTGTTGTTGCTTGTTTGTTTCTTTTTTTTCCCGATACCATTCTCTTTATTTTTTAAATGAAATTTTCCTGTGCCTTCAAAAATTTTCCTGTGCCTTACCATTCAGAATCCACTCATACAAATTGCTTTCATATACAGGCTGAGGAAAATATTCATATAGTTAACTGAGACTCACATGAAGTATACTTTTCCATTCCTGTCCAACATTTGGTCAAACTCCCCATGGAAGAGGTTTTCTCTCAGCTCGTCTTATTAAACAGTTTTAAAACATTGACCCATTCAAAGCCTGTTCAGCATCTTTTATTGTGTGTTGGGTTCACCTTGGCTGAATGCCAGGTGCCCACCCACCTGCTCTATCCCTCCCCTTCCCAGTCCGACGGAGAGAGAGTAAGGTGGGAAAAGGAAACAACACAAATCGTGGGTTGCGATAAGGCAGTTTATATTTATGCAAAAAAGAAAGCAAAAGCAGCATGCGCTTGCACAAAGCAGAAACCAGCAGTTAATCTCTACTTCCCACAAACAGCGATGGTCGGCCACTTCTCTGAGAAGCAGGGCTCCAGCACACGTAACAGTTCTCAGCAGGCAGCCATCAGAGACAATGAGTGCCTCCGGTCCTGCTCCTTGCCTCAGCTTTTATATCTGGGTTGATGTCATGTGGTCTGGAATATCCCCTTGGTCAGTGTGGGTCAGCTGGCCTACTTGTGTCCCCTCCCAGGATCTCACCCTCAATTGAAGAAGGAATGTTACAGTGCTGTGTTCAGCAGTAGCCAAAACATGGATGTGTTATCAGCACTCCTCTAGCTACCAATGCAGAGCACGGCACTGTGAGGACTACTATGGGGAAATAAATTCTGGCTCAGCCAGACCCACCACAATTGTCAAATATTATGAGAAGAGTAAAGTGAAAAGAAAAAAGTTAAAACATAAATAAAGAATTCAAAAGTAAAATTCACAGACTTTTGCTTTTGGTGAGGTTCCTGGGGATCATTTTGAAAATCTCCACCAAGATTCTAGTACTTGTGGATCTGGCACAACAGAAGTAGGGTTGACATCTAGCTCTCAAATTCCTCATTAATTGCAAAGTGGAAACATGTTCTTGGTGTATAAATTTTATAGTTTATTTTTTTAAAAGTATATTTACAGATTTACTTTTAAGTGAGAAGAATAATTATTTGATTTTAAAATGCAATGGTTCATCCATTGGCTAATAGCATGTTTTGTTGTCACAGTTCTAAGTCATATTTCAGTAAGAGTTATTTCAGAAGGATTAATAACTGCCTTTCTATAGATAAAAAGCTATACATAGTACATATTTTTCTCTTTATTCCACCTTCTTGTCAGATGTTGTTTCACTTTCCATTGACCAATAACCTAAGTAGTATAAAATCTTCTTTGCATTTACATTCTAGAACTCAGACGAATCCTAACCTGCATTTTTTCTTTGCCAGTTCTCACTTCGAAGTGGTGCAGCATAGCCATTCATACTAGAATTACACCTTTGTAGCATCTTACAAGGAGGCATTTAACATTTCTGGTGTTGATTTGTAAATGCTGAGTATTTGCACAGATCTCCTTGTTGTTAATTTAAATTTGTCAGCAGAATAATTAAAGATAGAGTTCTCTAAGTTGCTGACCATGTTCATATTCAGACGTTAATTTTGCATCACAAATATGGCCTGACCTGTATGTGTATGTTGATGACTTCATTAGTCACAGATACACAGATTTATTTTTTTAAAATAAGAAGTCCAGCAGGTAAAATGATTTTTTAAAAATCAGAATAATACCAAGAAAATGAAAGATATTTTTTTTTTTTAATTTAAAGAGTATCCTGGTAATTTGTTATGCAGAGCAGCTGTTCAAACATGAACCTATTGAGCCCAGTGTGTGCTACAGTTTCTGGTGTTTTTCTGTGATTAATTTGTCTCTCTGCCAGCTAGACTGTTACCTGCATAATCCCTAACTCTTTTGTCTAATCCTATTTACAACACTAACCACAGGCAAACTGCAAGTGACTGATCCAGAAAAAATCCCTCAAGAAATTTGTTCAGAGCTGATTCTTTGACATGCCATCTACTCTTCTGTCTCTCCCTCTAGATTCTTATATTGGAATTCTAAAATATAATATCAGAGTAATGGTGGGCTTAAAGGCCAAACAGGGGCTAAAATTTGCTCTGAAAGGGTGCTTTCCGTGACAATTAACTGAAGGAAAACTGTCTCACAAGCTCAGAATTACGTTTGTAAGTTCTAAAACTGTAGTAAAATCAATCCACCATCAGGCTCACGTAGTAAAGTTGAGTTTTTAAAACTTATTGTGTAATGGCTGTCAAAATGTTTTAGATCTCAATAACAGAAATTAAAAGCTTGATGGTTTCAAGCATTACACTGAATAAACCTTAAAACACCACCACTTTCCTTGCTCTCCTGTTAACTCCATCATGGCAATTTGGGGTTTTTTTGAGTGGTATTTTTTTAATTCTAAGTATTTTCTTGACAGCCACCTTGAGAAAAATATTTATTTCCGCCCACATCTTCCCACTGCAACTAATTGAACTGAAATCAGTAGCTGGCTCTTGTCCTTTTACAGATCTGATCATGATAAAATTTACAACAAACAGTGTCAAACCTACAGTTGGATAGACAGCTGGGACCCTGGATTCAAGCTTCTGAGCACAGTACACAGGATACAGTGGGGACTGCAGACACAACAGGAGCTTCAGTATTAATAGATTAGGTGTCTTATACCTCATTTTGGTGAAAGAAATACAAAAAATGTGAAGTGATAGGTCTACCAGATACACCATTTCCATTCAAGCGTGATTGTCTTAGATAGCTGAAAGTCACAGTGTTACTGTTTCATTAACTTGGTCTGAGAGTGTCTAAATTGCCTGAGAATCTTGTTCTTGCTGGATATAGATCCTATCTTAAGAAACAGAACATGGATGAAAAAACTCGAGCTGTGAGTTAAAACTAAGAATTGTGCAATGATTAGGAATACAGCCAGGTTTCACTTTATTTTTGTATCTCTCTGCTTTTTTTCTTTGTCTGTAAATTGGGATTAACAGTATTTTGCTCTCTAAAGGAGTGTTGTAAAGCACAGCAACTGTGTAAGCAGTTCTGTCAGTGCAGTAACTTCACTACAGACTGTAGTTTGCTAACACCAGATTGCATTCTGCAGGCTATGACTTGTGATTTCTTGTCACTATGCAGATTTTTTTGAAGAATTGCTTTGTGTGCTGCTCAATACACAGCACAAATAGCTAAAGTAACATATGATTTGGATAATAGATTTATGAAATTCTCACTGCCTATTACAAAAATGGTGACCATTGTTTAAAATTCAAAAGACTAAAGTTTGACCATGATCCAGTACTACTGGATCATGGGCCACAGGGCTGTCTGAGCCCTAAGAAAAGGACTTCCAAGCAGAGCGAGGTACTGAAATCAATTTTTCTGCAATATGGCACCTGGAGACCTAATTTCTTTCATCCCTGTGGGAAATTGAATTCCTCTCCTTATCCTTCCTTTGCCTATAATGCAGCAGGATTCTTTGGAAAGTTAATACTTGTATACTGACTGTACATTTGCTCACAAGTGGTTATTTTGTAAAAAAATGCAGCCTTTTTTAAAAAAACACGAACAATCTAAATTGTTTCAGGCCTGCCAACCTGTCCAAATCATTTTGTAGTATTGCAGTGGATGTGATCTCCAAGGCAGCACTAAGACTGCAAAAACCTCCTAGGTTAGTGAAGGGAGAGTGGTGACAAGATATCTTCCACGATGCACAGAAGGAAAAGCCACCAGACTCCTTGTCCCTTCCTTTGATCCTCATTTATTAGCTGCGTGACTACGTAGGGAAAAGAGACTTTGCATTCTCGTTGTCCAGAAAAAAAAGAGAGGGACTGAGGAGTTAGCTACATTTAGATGTTTTCCCTCAATAAATTTTCTCTGACCATCCCCTTGCAAGCTGAGATTTTGTGAGATGTTTATTTTGGACTCATCTAATTAACTTGTTGTAGAAATGTTCTGTACTGGAGACAGGGGGTTCAGTTATGTTCTATAGAAAAAATAAATAAAAACCCACACATACACTACTAAAAATTTGCAGTGTTGCCTAAAAACTGTTCCGGTTGTAGGGCTTTATTTTTCACTTACTGCAGTGGTTCTGGTTGTTCTTTTAACATACCATTACAGTACTTTTACTAGGGAAAAGGGAGAATGTTGCAAGAGGTTAAGTCTTCTTTTTAAGCCAATCTGTTTCATTTTTTTTGCTCTTTATTACTGATCACCGCTCTTTATGACTTCAAGTGCAAATTTCTCTCCACTGGTGGTGGAGGAGTGAGTTCTGCATGTTAAAAAGTATGAATGAAAATTGATTAACTGTCCTTGATGTCTGTCCTGCAAGTCTGAACAGAAGTGCTGGTGATGACACTTTCCCACCCAATATGGGCACTGGTGATTTTTATCTTTCACACGGGTGATTATGAGGCTCTGTTTCAAAGCTGAAATTGCCTGTGTGTTATTTCTCATTCAGACGCAAGCTTAAATACCAAGTCCCAGCAATGTTGCCATTTCTGCAGATTAGATGAGAAGGAACTAGTTGCAAGATCTAATGATTATTCTGTGTCATTTTCTTGAAGTCCTTCAGCTCTGCTATGTCTTGAAGCTTGAAGTTGTACTTGGCAAGAAGGTGGACTCTAGGAATCAGGGAGTAGTGTTTCCTGCCCCTGGAAAAATATTAGGTGATTTTCTTCATAGAGCTTTTTAAAGCTTTATTTTCTTTTTCTTTTGCTGAAAATGCTGAAGCGTCTGTCCCCCGACCTGTTGTGTCACATGCACTGGGTACAAAGACCATGTAATTCCCACTTTGCTGTTACCACACTCTGACTATATCTCACACATTTCAAGGAGAATCACTGTAGCCTTTCTCTCACTCTCTGTCCCTATATGCTAAATTTAACTGATTGATTTGATCTGGGATCTGCTGTTGGCTACACCTGACATTTAGGTCAGTTAATGGGACACAAGTGGTGTTGTAGCTGTGCAATTTACCTGCAAGGCCACCATCACTTTAAAAGTAATCCAGTTGGAGGACATAATCCCCAGATACCGTGCAACATGTGTTTTACCAGTTCATATGGCTGGATCTACTACTACCATATACTATACACTCTCATTTAGCTGTATGTCTGGTTTGTGCCCCGGTGTGTGGCAGCCCAAATGCTGGGATAGAAAACAGGAGCGAGGTTTACATCCAGCTAGTCAGGTCTCTGTTCCAACAGTACTGAGCATCTTCTGTAGAAAGTCTCCACAGCAAAAGCAAAGCTCCACCAACAGGAGATACAGTTTCATCCGAGGGCAGCCATCCTGAGCTCTAGTTCCTTTCACAAAGTAGCACTAAGTTATTGTCCAGAAAATGCAGTTCCCCCTCTGCTATGTCCTGCCCTCACACATATTTATTGTTGTAGACTGTGTGCTGTTTGCTACAGGAGTCGTCCCTTGCTCTGGTCACAGCTCATGAGGCTATGAGCTATAAAAAGGGACAGGGAGCTCTTTTGGTTTGAGGCCCTGAGCTGAGGTTTTGTAAACTCCATGTCAACTTCATCTGTGAAGGCCATGGGATATTTGGAAAAGTTATTTTTGAAAATGCAAGAGGGGGCAACCTTATTTTTGACATCTTCTAACTTTGAATAATTGAATTAAACTCTCTTTGGGAGGAAGGCAGGCATCTTTTCTTAAAAGATCAGTAAGTAGATTAAAATCTTAAAATGTGTGTTGACTGTGAAGTAAGCACCCTAGACATAACACAACAGAGAAATCAGCATTTTCTTCCTACTTTTAGAGAGGTGTGTATATTTAAAACCTAACATTTTTAATAGGGTCTTTGAATGCCCTTGTTAAAAGGATAAAATAAAATTAATCTATCAAAGAACCGGTGTTCACCCTGTAAGTGTATGTCTATACAACCTGCCTATTCTATGCTGGAAGCAAAGAACTTAAATTTATTTAAATTTATCTCCCATCTATTTCCCCATAATTGAGTATAACCCACCGTATGGAAACAGCTTACTTGCAAAGAAAAATAGCATCCTAAGGCATGTTTATGGTGACTTCCAGAAGTATTGACATTGATGCAATGGAACAAACAAGAAAGTGACATCTTTGAGCTAGATCCTCAGGATGTCTGCAGGGTAGTAGAAAATGTGTATTTACAAAGAGCATCCTTCCCTTTCATTTTTCTGTTTTTTACCTGACTTCAAGACATAAGTAATCAGTCAGTCCCAGAAGATGCACTTGAAGGGGTTAGCACTGCAGGATATATGCTTTTAAATGCAAATATCGAAAGCAGCTTAAGGAAACCAAAGTAGGTTGCCCAAATTTGACAGTGAACTGAATTAGAGTTTGTGAGCTATGCAGTTTTTAAACTTGAGTTATGAGGCCTCTATTCTTACTGCACTGCCATCAGATTCTCATGATATGTCCCCAGGCTCTATGTGGACTGTATTCAATTCACATTGCAGTTCACATATATAAGTGATGCTACACAGAATTTTTGAAACTGGAGTTCTCTTATTGGCAGAAGACTCCCTTTGTGACCTTGGAGAAACCACTTTATATTATTACATTATTAATATATTTGCAAAACTGGGACAATATTACTTCTCTCTCTCGGAGAGTCTTAGATGGAAAAATTGAAGGGTATAGAAATACCTGATATAGTCATCTTGGTAGAGTAAAACTGACCATAATGGCTTGTGAGAAATAAGGAAGGGCTCCTTCCACCTGTAGTACAAAGATGTTTCAAAACAGGACTGTGAAGGAATAATTGCTTCCTGAAAGGTAAATTATCTCAATTGAAGAATGTCTTATGGTAGGAATACTGTAATGTTTTCTACGCTTTATATCCTCTTTTCAGAGTCATTGAAATAACTGTATTAGAATTGGATTGAGAGTGGTATCATTTTGCTTCCTTGTGGGGTCTGAGTACAGTTTCACTATTCCTCTCTCCTGTCCCATCCCTGTTGAACTCAGCTGAAAGAGCTCAGTTTGATCTTACTGTGTGAGCAGGGTGAAACAACATTTTAAAGGTGCACCCAATTTATTTGTAAGCCCTGTAAAATCCAACTGATTTCACAGATAAATCACTTCAAGGTTCAGTTTATCTGTTTCGTGGGATCAACTGTGTCAGAACAATAATGAGAAGTTGTGTTGGTATATACTGCATGTTTAACAAAGTCACAATTTCATTGAGCTCTTAGCTTTGGGGGAGAACTAACCGGTCTGCACCGTGCCTAAGCATGGGATACTGAATGCATTTAGAATTATTTCATGAAGGGAGAGAGCCTGGACACCCATAGAAGAAATAATGAAATGAAGGTTATACCTACCTAGCTATGATCACAAAGTGCTCAAGACCTTTTTAGTTTCCTTCTCCAGACTGAATGAGAAGGATACAACAAATCGGCCGGCACTGTATGTAGTTGCCCAATGTTGGTTTGCTCAGCAGCAGAAAAGAAAAGAGAATATGTGCTTCCATTCAGCATTTTTAGCGAAAATATTCATAGAAATGCAATACTAAAGAAAGAAATTAAATTATAATGAGCAAAACAAATACTTTTCCAGTTCATGCATGATTTGTGGGTAACAAAATTAGTTGTACGGTTTAGAATTTAGTAGGACTCAGAGATTCATGTAGATATCAAGAATATAAGTTATTAGTTTTTGAAGGACTGTCAAAAAGCAGTCATTTTATAAGCAGTATAAGCCCTTGTGGTTCAGCCAAAATGAAGTCTCAGTTTAATTCCAGCTAAATGGAAATCTTGTAAGCAAGTTACCCATACGTAAGTAATAAAGGATTTCCTATCCATCTCATGAAGAGTCTTCTAATAATTGCTTCCTAAGGTGGATTGGTTGCCTTGAGACAGAATGCTGATCCCAACACAAAACCACAGCTTTTTCTTGGTTTAGCATGTTTTAGATTAAAACTTCAGTTACTTAATTTCCTTTTTTAAGAGCAAGGAAGAATGTGAGCACTTCATTAATGATTTTCCTGAAATGGAAGTGAAGATGTTGTATTGTGCCATAGGTTCTGGTTAGCAGTAGAAGACCTGAAGAAGAGGCCTATCCGTGAAGTCCCTGCTCGCGTCCAAGAAATCTGGCAAGAATTTCTTGCTCCGGGTGCACCCAGCGCTATCAATCTAGATTCAAAAAGTTATGACAAAACCACTCAGAATGTGAAGGACCCTGGAAGATACACATTTGAGGATGCTCAGGTCAGTTTGCAATCCTGTTTAGAGACTTTCGAAATAGAATATTGGCTAGTAAAGTATTTCTATATTAAAAAAAAAAAAGAGATATATTTGGAATTAAATGATAACATCCTATTTCCTACGGTGTCATTTTGGCGATGCAAATGGGTAACATTCTTTCTTTCATGAGGCATATGAAGTTCTTCACGAAACTTCTGTGCTTGATACAGAGTCTTCAAGTGGACTTCAAATAGAGCAAAACATATAGTGAAGAAAAAATGAAGTACTTCTGTATTAAATGCAATGCTTCATGTGAACTTATAACTTAATATTTCATCTTTGCAGACTTCTGAGAAAAGCAATAGAAAAGAATTGGATTCACAGTAAAAGTAGCAGAACTGGTATCATCCTCCATTTTCGTCAGCAGTCCAGTGATGAAAATTTAATTATTAATGCAAAATGAAATGGTGTCAAAAGGAGAAATTGAAATCACATCCCTGCAGAATTTCCTACAGCTTGATTATTAGGTCATCCTCTTGGGAGTCAGGAGATGCTGCTACAGGCCCCACAAAGGAGAGAAGGGAATTAAATTGAGGCTTTCTACTTTTCAGGAGCATGCCTCTGCCCTAAATAGAGGGAGAATAATTCTTCCACATTTTCACTTTTCCATTATGAGGATAGCAACCTATGAAGAAACAATAAAATTTTCATTAGACCCTGTGTCATACCCACTGTTTTGAAGTATTGTGCATTAAACCAAACACACAATTTTTGCTTGCATCTGCGAACCCCTGGAGATTTAAGAATGCAGCATATAGAGAAGACATAAATTACACAAATAATTTAGCAAGACTAAAGGCTTAAAAAAAGTCTTTGCAGCTGAATCACTAAAGGACAATTAAAATCCTTTCCAGTATCCAGTTTACTTTTTTTAATAGGAGTAAAATTTCAGCACCAACTTCCAGATCTCTCTTCTTATCATTTTTTCCTTCATTTATGAAAGCTGTGAAGTATCCAGTCTTTATGTAAGCAGGACTTTTCCTCCTGTCAGATCTCTGCATAGTTCCTCCAGTTCAGCAAACAAAACTTGAACCTGGAAGCCATTTATCTTGGAAAAGGGGGCAGGCTGCACCTGTCATGTTCTCACTTGAAGCTTTAGGACCTCTACAGAGTGTCCCACCTGAGGTGGCAGGATTTTGTCAGGATAGGGCTCTGCCTCTGCAACAGGCTCTTTGTGGCCTGCCAGCTGAGAAAGAGACCACTTATATGTCATTCTGGCAGCCAGAAGGTCACTCAATTGTGGTTAAAAATGTATGAAAAGCATTTCTGGACTTGAAATATGGAACAATAAAACTCCATGTCAAATGAGAGGGATACATAAGTAAAAATAGTCTGATCGTGTTAAATCAGAAGCAGCCTCAATTCCTGACTAAGGTGTCCACTAACAATACTAAACCTAATCTATTCTTGCTTTTACAGGGCTGTTTCTTGTACAGAAATAACATTTTAATGCTTATCACCACTTTCTGCTCTCTGTTGAATGCACTGTTTGCTTCCATAGGGAGTGGAATAAAAACTCCCTAAATAAACCAGCCTAAGTTGTGAATATATACCAGAATTTCTCCGCTTAGTGTAAGAAATCCAATGAAAGACACTTAGAACCATTTCTAGATTTTCTAATACAGCAAAAAGTAATTTTCAAAGAAAGTGGGAGGTTTATTTGGTTGGTTGGTTTGGTTTGGGAATTTTTTGGATTTTTTGATATTGGTTTTTGTTTTGTTTTGGGTTTTGTTTGTTTGTTTGTTTGGGTTTGGGGTTTTTTGTATTCACTAATTTTATGCACTACCAAGCCTAGAAATAATATTTACTTTACAGTTTCTTTGCTGTTTCCCAATTGCTGTGCCACAGGTTTTCTGCAGTAAAAAATAGAGTTTAAGTAAAAGAAAAGCTCCACAAAAATAGCCAGCACAATTCAGTGGATTTTTAAAAATTATTTTGAGAGCACTTCCTATTCTGATTGCTTTTCTACAAATCTTTTCCTAATATATACTAGAACTAGAATTATCAAGCGTCCTACATCATAGATTTTTCGGGTTTAATCTTTTTCAGAAATGAGAATGCTTCAAAATGAAAAACTATAAGCTGCCTCTGTCATTTTTTTTTCTGAATAAAGATTTTCAAATTTTCACACCCCTCTGAAGAATGAACATCTTGAAAAATAGATTAGCCTCAAACTGTTTTTTAATTTACATATGTATTTTCCTTTTTATATTGTTATCTGGGAAGCAGACTAAATGTCTGTCAAAGGATGTTTTCAAGAGTAGCCAGGGGATATCCTCGCTAACTTAAGTACTTAATTATGATGCTGAATTGAGTTTCTCGTCCTGCCTGTGAAGTCACAAGAGAATGTCCACAAACTAATTCAGAAAATCTGATGAGGAAGGATCCACAGCTCCTAATTTAGTCAGTTAGCTAAACTGACTAATGTAAGGAAGGTTTGAAATTAGGCCTTAAGTTAGGGCTCAGTTGTAAATTCCTATAAAATAATTTTGTAATGGAAATTAGGTCTATAAATTAAAGAAAGATGTGCTGTGTAATTTATACATAATGAATGGGAGGAATTTCTGCTTTCAGAATAGAAGGCAATTCAGCCTTAGCTTCAGAACTGAAATCTGATGTCCCATAATACTTCCTATTCATAATAATGCTAGCTGGTATACATTCCACAACCGAAATGTATGACTGTCTTCCATTTTATACTTGTCTTCTTTCATGGGAATAACAGCTCCTCCTTTCCTTTTCAGGAGCACATTTACAAACTGATGAAAAGTGATTCTTATCCTCGTTTTATACGATCCAGTGCCTACCAGGAGCTGCTACAGGCCAAGAAAAAGGTATTGGTCCATCTTGCCTTTGTCTTGCCACTGTGCAAAGCAGTGGTTATGTTTGCAACAATACTCAGTCTTCTCTCCCCTGTGCCAGTGCAACTGGATATCTGGTAGGTGACCAGCTTGGCGTGTTTGGAGGGTCACATACACACAGGAGTTCAATATACATATATGTGTATATATCCTGCATGCGGGCATGTTTCAATAAGTTAATCTAGCAAAACTTATTTTTATTTTTACATCCCATATTGTACTGTTTTCTCTGTTATGAAGCACCTTAATTGCAAAGTGCTTTACAAATACATTAAAAAAAATAAAATAAAATCCCAGAAGAATAGTCTTTCATGTTTGCAAGTTTGCTTATGTAATAGTTGTTGTTCTCTTTATTCCATCTATAAAAGCTACAGAATGTGTTTAGAAACAATCTTATTCTTATGGATTACTTCTAATTTCAACTATAAATATAGGGGCTTCCTAATTTTGTTTCTTTCCCTATTATTACATGAATAGTTTTGAGTAGGCTAGGAATCTGACTTGAAAGACTGATCATGTCACACTTCGTCAAACAGAAGCTCATGTCTTGGTATGTAATATTTACTTAGAAAAGTTCAGATTATGGAATGAGTTCTGAATAGCCACAGCCCAGAGTATGTGGAGCAGCTTGTGCATTGCAGATTTCTATAATGATAAATAATTCTATCAGTGGGCTTTAAATAGTAATCTCCTAGAATCAGCTGGGAGCCCTGTGCCTTGCAAAATCAGGGCCCTGATTGTTACCGGAACAAGGTAGTTATTAATACCATGGGATTCTATTGTTTACAATGACAACCTAAAATTATATGAAAGTATTGTGTGATTTTGTTTTTTGTTCAAACATTGATTTCTGAAGATCCAATATAGAGAGAGATGTTGAAAAAACCAGAAAGCTTCAACTGTCCGTGTGAAGTCCTTAAGTTTGTGAATGTCAGTTCATTAACACAAGATGTGCACTTCATTATTTCTTTTTATTTTCAGTTTTTCTTTAAATTCAAACCATGAAGTTTGATCCTCTTGAAAAATTATTTTTGTCTAGTACTATATCTGCTTTGCCCATCCCCTGTTTTACCAAGTCCCATTACCGCCTCATACCTGTGTTTGCTTCCTGATTTATACAGACTTTGTTTTGCAGTCCATTGTTTCATCAATCCTTCTTTTCTACTCCATTTTTCTCGCTTTTCTTTTTCCCCTCCTTTTTCTTTTTGTTTCTTTTGTTTTATTTATTTTAAATTTAAGTTGGAAAACACTCTGGATCGTCGAACATCTTTTGAGAAATTCACACGCAATGTGGTAAGTTTGTTGCCTCGGAAGACTAGTAAGCCTGATGGGACATCCTTCTCCCCTTCCCCTCACTGATCCCTACTTTCCCTTTTTGCTTCTCTAACCTGACAGTTAAAAGTGTATTCATCACTGTTTTGGATTTTCCTGGGAATGACAGCTTTATAATGTGCTTTCATTACAACTCCTCCTCCTAGTCCCTTTACCAATGATCTCAATAGTCACACTTGGAGGAATGGACCTTTGGGAGCCGTGCTTTTTGCATTAGGAAGCATGAAATTAGTCACTTTTTTTTTTTTTTGCTTTAATTTTAGTAAAGAATCTGTGAAAACCTGCTTGATGTTGTTTCTTTTTCTGGTGCCTCCCAAAATACTAAGTCTAAAACAGTTGAATACATTGGATTTCCATTCTGTCTTCTTTTTATTTTACTAAAAAATACTTTGTCCCATTTTTTTTGATTGGGCACAGGGAAAAATAAACAATAATAATTTCCCCATGTTCCTTAAAGTCTAATACAGCTTCTGCAGGACCAAAGAATTCATGCTGTTGATGTACAAGGGTTTGATTTGGATTAATTTTCATAATGGATTAAAAGAACTGATTTTTTCTTTTCAATATATAATTTTTTTAAGCTATTTCTTGACCATAAAAAAAAAAGGAGGCTGGTAGGTTTGGTGTGGGCATTCTTTTGCCACCTGCCAAAAGATACACTGATTTCCTGAAATTTGGGATTCTTTTTACTTATCCAGTTTCTTTGGAATTAATTTTTTTTTGCATTGTGAAAGTTCAAACTAAAGAATTCAACGCATTTATTTTTGTAGGGCAGAAACATCCCAATTTTCCCATGCCATAAAAACTGTACACCAACACTGAGGGCGAGCACTAACCTGTTATGAAAAGAGGTAGAAAGATCTTGGATTGTACTCAAGTTTGTCTGCATTGTCTGTTGAATTGTGTAGGTGACGCTGCTGTGTGTGTGTGCGTGTGTGTCTGTGGCTTTTTCTGTGACCTGGTAAATGGAGCTGTGTGCATTGAAATGAAAATTATGAGAGCTTTCAGCAAAGATCATGGTTTTTGTTTTTTAGTTTCTAAGGAAGAAGAAACAGTTCTCAAAAACTGCCTCCTATGCAATGGAGCTCAAGAGTATTGCCTCAAGTATTTAAAAAAATACATAAATACTTTCCAGTAATCAAAAAAAAGAAACAAACATAGTGAAAGAACAAAGTTTTGTGAGGCTGTGGGAATATCTCACATTTTAAAACAAAATAGTAATTCTTTAACTACTTTCTTATAGGTAAAGGCTTCCTGTAATATGCTTTGAATCCACTGTAATCAGGAAGAAATTTGGATTCAATGGGACAAAGTCAGTAAAGGACACTAAAAGTAAATAAACAGCCACAAAGGAAACTATCCCAGTGTTTGAAACAAAAACCCCTATGTTTTGCATGGTGGTGTTGCCATAGCATGTTGCAGTGTGATTTGTGTGTTGTCTCAGCAGGTTGGATCTATAAAACAAGATTGTACATGATAACATTATCCATGATAATTCCACTATAATTCTGTAGGAAGTTCCATATTAATAAAAAGTCTATAAAAGAGAGTGCAGAGAGTGGGTAATACATCCGGGATCTCTGAGAGCCAGACTTTTTCCCAGTCATGGTGCCTGGCAAGCTGCAACGCTACATTTATTCACGGCATTTTGAACAGCCCACAGGTCAGGAATTGGCTATGGTAAAGATTATGTGAACAGGTGGCTATGAGGAGAGAAATGGCAAGCTGCAGATAGATGGGAGGAGAATACAGCACAAAGAGGGAAAAAGTGAAGACAGACTGGAGACACTGAAATCACTCCCAGAGCACTGTTGTGCAGTTCTGGGCACGAACATGGGAGCATTGTGCCCTGCATCCATGCCCAATTTTCGTTGTGCTAATCTCAGGGCAGAAGTACCAGAATAGCAGGATGCCAGAAACGCAAAGCAGGCCCAATAAACCAGCTGTGAACTACAAATGAGAATGAGGATTTCTGGACATGAAGCATTAGTACTTCGGTAGAAGAGGGAGATTTTTTTTTTTTTCACAGAGCAATCTGTAAAATAAAATCTGTGGTTTTGCTGCCTTTTAGTCTGTCAAGTCAGGTCAGGTATGAAAGAAAAACATGTCCCTGTTAGATCTATTCAGATGACTGAATTTATGTTACCCACTTTCTCAGGACCCCTTGCCACAAGGCATCCTTGTTCTTCCACTCTTGTTCTTGGCTGTGATGAGTTTATAATATGTAATTATCTATGTTGGTACACTGGTTCCAACTAGCAGGGATGAGGGAAACATTTCTCAGAATATCCTACAGTGTACTGATTAACTTGCTCAACTCTGAAGCGAGGGACTGAAGAATAGATCTGTTCTACAGAACATAGTGTGAAATAGGTCTTCTACAACCTAGATAAATGCTGTCATCTCTGAATGATTTAGTGAGATGAAATTTACAGTTTCTCTTCTCCTCTGATGGTTTACAATATTTAGAATAATTTTCACTGGATTTTTTGTCACTTATATCAAAGTGGATTTGGATTGAACTAAATTAGACCTCAGTTTTTTCCATTTGAAATGTTTAAAAAACCCCAGTAACCTTGGTTGTGTCTAGGGACTTAATCTGAGAAGATGGCCTTGTAATTCATAACCTGATTTGTTAAGATGGTGACTCTAAGAGGCTCCTGATCAATGTTAATTGAAATTGGGTTATACTTGCTACAGAAAGAATTTGTTAAGTTAGAAAGTTTAGAAACTTTGTAAGGGCAATTACACTGCACTATTTCATTAATTATGTGGAAATAACCTATTATAATGAGTCATTTTTCTAGTCTGATGGGGAAAAAACTAGAAGTGGATCATATAAACAAAAACACTAGGCTCAGCTCTGTATCTCTTTGACATTAAAGAGTTTTTTTTCCAGAAAACTTTCAATAAGTTGGGGCACTTCATGAAAGCCCTAAATGCTCAGCTTAAAAACACTGACTATTTATTTTGCTCTGTGGATTTTATCATGCAAAATTGCTAGTGCCTTCAGCACAGTGCAACAAACAGTATGAAGTGTTAGAAACAGGACTACATTCACATAAATATACAGAAGTAATAGCAAACTGGTATTTGCAATATGTAATTTTTACTACCAAACACTTTATATTTTGCATCGGAGTAGTAACCCCAGCTATTCTTGGTTTGCCTCATTTACTCACACTCCTGGGTATTGTGTGAAAATATAGAACACATACACTTCAGCACTACTGGAATGAAGCTGTTAGATAAGTGCATTGCCTTCGAGTAACACTGGCAAACACAGGTGTCACAGCTCTGAGTCTGAGGCACAGAGAGCAGTGACAGTGTGCACTGTGCTTTCTCCCCCATCTAGATCAGCCCCTCAGCTTCCTCTTTGAGAATAATAAAGGTCCAGTCACCTGCAGCTCCCCGAGAGACGCTAAAGGTCTATGTCAGGGAGCAGGAGGATCTCATCACATGCTACATCTGTAGAGAGACAGAAATCAACTGTTTCTGTGGCATTTAAAAACTGAAATTCTTTCAAGGAATTTACGTGGAGAAAAAAATATATTAAAAAAAAAGAAATTAAAAAGCCCAGCAAACTTGCTCTACCTCAAGTACTAATATCTGCATTACAGGGGAATATACACTGGTAATGTTGATGGGAACAAAGAGGTCTTTTAAGGAACAATTAAGGAACAATTTTCTGAACAATTTCGTGAACAATTTCTCATGTGTGCAAGGTTTGTAACAGAGGCAGACTGAGTAGGACACCTTTGTGAGCCCTAGCCTGGTGCTTAGCTGTGATTATCTGTCTGGAACCCTAGAAACAAAGGGATCTGATTTACAGGAGAGTTGGCTAATTTAATTTGCACTCCATCCAAATTTTATTGTCCCACCAGGAACAAAGTTAATGGGGCGAGAAGGTGTAGCCTCTCTCCTTAGAGCTGCCTGGAGGGAGATACAAAACAGACCAAACTTAGTTCATATATTAAACTAGAGACCCATTGAACTATAGATATCTCCACTCATAACCTCATAAACAAGGCCCCATTTAATAATTCTGACTTTAAACCCATTATATCTTACATTACACATACCCTTTTCATCTGTCTTCTTCCACTTACCTGGAAGAACTTGCTGACCAGAGTCCTTTCCTTTTTTCCTTCTCCAAAAAGTAACAACAGACTATTTAATGCATGTGATGTGAAATGCCAAGTCCATTGAACAGAGCACATTGACATTTTCACAGAGGCTCAGTCCAATGTCACTTAACATGACACAGTGAATTATGGCCTAGAAATGGAAGTTAAAACTCATAAAAACTCATTAAAACTTCCCCTGTTATTATCAGTGGATCATAGACTTTCTAGATGCTTAAATGAGTGTAATCTGTTGTTGTGTTAAAATCTGTCTGTTTATTGAGAAACAAGGCAGATAATATATGAATTTCATCTGTTAATCAAGAAATTTTTCTATGAACATACAAAACTTATGTACACAAGGCCCTACTGTTCCAGACCTAAAGTCCATCTAGTCCTGAAATTCTGCCAAGGGCTAGATTTTTCTCAAGTATAGCATTGCCCAAGAACTTCAACGCAGTATCAGCTAAAGGATCTTATTTTGAATTTACTTACATGTTATTCCCAAAATTTAAACAACAAAAAAAAATCTAGTAAGAAGGAAAATAAATCACCAAGCTACTTATTTGACCAATACAAAACAAGAATGAAAACAATAACTATGTGTAGAAATGAAGGCTTTTTCCATTTCAGAAAAGAGATATCTTATTGATATTTGACTAAAAAGGACAAATAAAATAATTGAAATTTTTAGTTTGAACTACCAGCTACTCAAAAACCCTCTAGTTTTAGGGTTTTTTTAGGAATGATGCCTGGGGTGGAAAATCATGACGGACATGCCAGTAAGGACTGGCCTCCTTTTGCTGTTCTGCTGTGACTGGAGCTGAGGTGCTGTGCATTGTGCTGGAAGAGAGGAGCTTGAGGAGTAGCACTTGCACAGCCAGGTTCATCTAAGTAAGGGACCAGCAAGGACTGGTCAGGTATTAGGCCAGTGTCTGCCATTTTCCAGCTGACAAACACTTACCTGATTCTTAAGCTGTTTGCAGGAGTGAGAACTGCAGAGAGATATGGAAACCTGAGGGGTTGGGCCCAGGATAAACATACTAAAAATATTTGTCTTAAGCATTAGTCCCTTGGAAACCCACACTTCAAGTTCAAACTACCCCATTTGGCAAGAGTTTGTAGGTCAATCACAAGTGAGAACAACTCATCAGTAAATGTAAAGATAAGTGTAAAAGGAGAAAGAAGTGGAGAGTGTCACTGGATTTAGAATGAGCCAAAACAGGAAAGCTGTTGTTCAGTTTCTGCCTCCTGTCCTCAGATCATTGCAGGAAAGAGTATGACCCTAACGAGTAGGGAGGAGAGAGCTGCAAATCCCAGCCAGAGGAGGAAGGATTTCCCTGCACATGCAACCACTTAATGCTGCAGCTGTGCTGACAACTCATGCCCCAAATTCAGTAAATATTAACCTCCTCCCTTCCTCACATATGAAAGAAAAACACACCTGCACAGGTGGCTGAGAGCAGCATCCTGTACTCCTGTGGAAACTGAAGCAGGATTCTGATCCCCTGAGCAGTGCTAAGGCAATTCCTCTGTGCTAGTGAAGCAAGGGCTGCCTAAATTTGGAAAAGGACTTATGCTTCTGTTCCCATGTCTCTCCAGCTGTGCTCCTGTCAGGGGCAGTTTATACACCAGCTCTGTGTGTAGTGCACTGCAATGTCACTTGGAAGCTTTCCCCACTGATGCTGGATGAGCTGCCAGTGTGCTGCAGGTGTTTCACACAAGCAGATGGGGAACTGTGAAAGCAAGAAGGGTCAATTCTTGCTCCACATTTCATTGTGCTCACAGTAGGGTTCTCTCTCCTTCCCTTTCCCCATCAGATCACATGGAGTTTTCATTTTTAGTTCTACCAGTATCAGTCCTGGGGAGTAGCATCTGCACTGGCAATAAAGAAACATGTAAAAAGTAACCATTGAGATTGCTTAACAGAAAGGAAGATAATTAATCTTCTAAAATAAAAAGACTTACTCTTCTTCTATCTATCTATCTATATCAAATATAGGCACTCCAGCCTCTATATACATTTCATATAATTTTTTTATAAGTCAGATATGTACTGAGGTTGTTGCTGATTTGTTTGCCAGGTTGAGGAGTTAATGTCATACTGCATAAATGGGTCAGTCAGCACAATTGTATTTAGCCGCTCATACACCTGCACATGGCTTTGTAATTTTTCCCCTAAATTCTGCAGTGATAAAGTTGGAGGTACAACTCTATTTTAAACAGTTAATACACGGGACTGAACACTGAGGCTAATTGATGTACTTTTAGTACTCTTTTTAAGTACTTTTTTAAGGTATCTTTTAAGTACTCTTAGATGTACTTTTTCACTTGTTCACTCCAGCTGCTGTGCTGCCTCCTCGTACTCTGACTCCCTTGTCAGGTTATGTGTGTAGGGTTTCATTTCGGATTGTGTATTATGAGTAAAATTCTTAAAAAGTTGCAATTCATATGTCCAGAGTGCACTAATACAGCCAAAAAACCCTAATCCTGTTTAGAATTTGGCCATTTACTTCTAAATATTAAAGGCAAGAATATATTGAAAATATTAAGGTTCTCCTTTCCATTATTCAGACAAACACCTACTGCTTCTTCTGACTTTTTTCCCCCAGTTGTTCTTTAATCTCATTAGCACAGGAAACATCTTCCTATGCGTGATGACTCACATGCTACACCTCTGAAAACCAGACTGTTAGATACAGGTTCCCAAATCAAAATTTGGCTTATGGAAATGCTGTTAACATTGTATCTCAAAGAACTATCTAGGCTCAGTTCTTAAATTATGAGCCACAACAGATGATCCTTACATCAGACTGTAAATTGAGTAAATCTGGAAATCTCCTAGAAGTGATAATTTTGAAACACTAGCTTAGAGAGGTAAAATAAAAGTATACTTGAAATATTCTGTAATGTGGAAAATAACAAGTCCCTGCAGCTCTAATAAGAAGATGTGATAATTCTGTATTTGGGGCTGCTGTGGGTTCTGTTTATTAAAAGTTTATTTTCCTAATCAGAGAACTTAATATGATTCAGTATAAACATTGGAGAAGATCTCTTAAGGAGGGTGTATCTTCTAAGTTGTCACTTTTCCAACTATAAGATAAATTAGAACTACTAATGCCTTGAAAAAGACCACATGTTGTTGTTGTTGTTCAGATGGGGAGTTTGTATCTATAAGAAGTGTAATATTCTCTGAGGCAGAGAGGGGACATGAAGGAGAGGACCACCCAGACAATTCCTGATCACTGTAGGAGTTAGGAGAAAAAAGTATCCAAAAACTAGCAATATCCTGGGAGTGAGTGCTGTGGAATGCAGAAAAAAAATTGTCATGACAACTCACTGTGTCTCTAGGGGAAAATTCAAACAACATCTAGAAAAAGATTATACAAATCAGATCAACTAATAACTACTTTTTTGCCTGACTTTAGGTCAAAACTTCCTAGTTTATTTGATAACATAATTAATTCCTGAGATGTTAGAATTATGGTTCATTTAAAAATACCGTCAATTTCAAAGCTCCTAAATAATTGTTGCAAATAATAAAAAAAATTATTTCACAGATTTTATACCACAACAAGGGTTTATGCAGCTTTCCAGTGTGGCATTGAGAAAGTTGTTTTAATAGCTAATAGAGAACTCCTGGTTTTCATATTTTAATTAAGTGGGTTATGAAGTTAAGTATTAAAGGGAACCCATACATATTTACAGAAGGTAGCCAGACCTGTAGACCTGTGAAATTAAGTGCACATAACTTAATGAAAGGCAAAGATAAGCATATGTTCAATATTTTCTGAGATTGTGTCTGAGACTGCCAGTCATGAATTGTCTAACAAAACACTTAATTTTGGACATGCTCTTTTAAATTGTATGCCAGTGCTACACTGCTGTTGAGGCTTTTTTGACTATTTAAAAAGAAAAGATGTCTTACTGTAACAGCTTTCCTGTCGCATTAGAGCAAAACATAATTTAAGGGTTAACAAGTGTCAAGAAGCTGTGAATTTAATACAGGTAGAAAGTGACAGATACAGGGAATACAGTGTGCCAGGAAAGACACTTTCCATCTTTTGACAAAGCAAGTATTAATACTGTCAGTTGATATGGTGAACCTGATGGATGAGCAGCCTAACCCAACATTGCAAACATGAGTTCCCTTCCGAGTTATACTGTAGGGGAAGTATCCATCCTAATTTGTTCAACTTGTATTTCAGAGCACAAAGAATAAAATAGTTATTCTTCCTTTTATGAAGACCACTCTGATATATTGCATCTGAGCAAATGCTCAAAACCAACTTACAGATCCCTGTGAGCATAAATTTAATTGATAATGACAATAGATATTACATTGTGTAATTTCACTGAGTTATAATACTGCAGATGGCAACAATTTATTGATATAGCGGAAGAAGTTCATTTAGCATTTACTGCAGAAAATGAAGTATCTCTCCGTAGTTGCAGTACTTCCTAATGTACTCTCCTTGAAATCAGTTTGATATTTCAGAGTTGGGCACTTAAAATGAACAATACAATAAATGTAAGTATTAAATATCTAACTGGCAAGTTAGAGCCATTTTCTATTTAATTTTTTATGATATATTTGTGTTACATTATCAGGGTATGCCTGTGATATTTTGAGGAATGATGTCAGCTTGCTGTGCCAGCTCTGCCTCTGTTGGATCAGAGCCACGGTAGGATGGCCCTCGGAGAGCTAACTCCTTCTATGTGGCCGTAGGAGAGCTAATTCCTGTTCTGTGGTTCCTGTCTGGCTCAGATAAAGCTCAAATCTGCTTGAAATATACCATGGTGACATATCATCCTCTTCACACTGTAGACCTAGCTCTTGTGGGACAGTCATTACACCTTATTAAAAGAACTCGCTAAAAAATTGAAACCACATCCTTGCAACAGGAGAAATTATGAGGAAAACAATAATATGGAAATCCAAACACCTTCAAAGAAGCATTATGCAGTCACATGTAATATACCTGACCAATGTTTCTTATAAATAGTAAATGTGGTCTCAACAAGCCTATAGCTGTGTTCATGAAAAACTTGCTTTCCTGCCTATATGCAATTTGCCTCTTGCTTTTTTACCTTAACTTGAAAGTAGCTTTTTGTCTTTGACAGAGCTACTGCAGTTTGCACATTCATCTTTCCAGCACAAGGCACTCTTGCTTGCAGTAGCCTTCTTCACGTTCTGGGTACAATTGACAGCAAAAACCTCAGCATCAGTTTCTCATCAGCCAAAACCAATCTCATTCAAAAATGGTCTTTAAATTTGCTGGCTTGTTCTGTGAAACAATCTGGCTGGCTGGCAGTGCAGGTGTTTAAGCGTGAGGACTTCCTGTGGTTTAAGATTTCACAGGCTCCAGTTGGTGCCCCTAGTTACTTGAGGGTGATGTGGCAACACTGAGTGGTTGCTGATGAACAGGTTTGCAGTGATCATGCCTCTGTTTTCTGTTTTTGTTTTTTGTTTTTATCTTTTCCTCAGGGGAAATCGCTCACATCAAAGAGGTTAACCAGTCTAGTGCAGTCCTACTAAAAGGATCACCTTGTAGCATGGAAGCAGACTCAAATCATTATACATACTTTGTAGCTCACTGATTGCCTGACTCAGAGGACAGTAGAACAAGATGTTGCATGAGCAAGGACCTGACTTGTTTTCTTTTGTGTATACTAAGGCATTACAGACTCCGAGGGACTCTCTAGCCTTTCGATGCCTCCATTTCGAAAACTGTCTGCTCACTTCCTCCTTCATATCAAGCTGGATCTGTGTCTTTTTATTTTCTGCAAGCTCAAGTACAGTGAAAAAAAAGCTTCTGCTAGGCACAGTTTATTTAAAAAAATACGTCAATCAAAAACTGGAAGAAATGTAAAAAATGCATATATTAATAAATATACATATGGCATCACATTTATTGCACAATAAATTAGCACAGAAGGTTTCATTTCACTGATGTATTCACATTGAGAAAGAAAGCCTGTGTCTTTGTCTGTTGTCTGTATATTCTCTGTTAATGTTTCTTGCATTTATTTTTATACCATATTTAAAAAAGAACACCTTTTACTCCAGATGTATTAAAGTTGATCCTTTCTCTGTAAATTTGTGTATGTTTATATTGTTGTTTTATCTTTCATTAAAAGATGCAGAATCTCTTTCCTTTGGGAAGTTTGAGATTTTAATATTGAATCTGAAGATTAGTCAAGAGCAAAATGATCCCCAAAAGTTACACACCTTGTGCTTTCTAAAAAGGTGACATGAAATGGCATTTTCTTTCTCTCAGTGACACCTAATCAAGCACACTTTATTGATAATCATTTACTTTTTCTTTTCTCTTTATCAAGCTAGCAGCAGAGAGATTTTCCAGCTTGCTCATCATCTCATAAGCAAACCTTTCTTTAAGCTAGACCCGTTCTATAATAGTACAGTCTGCGCAGCAATTCAGTCGCTACCCCAGACCAGATGAACTGAACTGCATTTCCTTAGGAACAGACATGAACAATTCTGACCAAGAACACAAGAGTATACTTGATGAATAGGAAGGGCAGTGTTTCTTTCTTCTTGCTGTCACTTGTGATACAAAGCAACATTTTAAGCTGAAAAGGTAGTGCTAAGTATACAGTCTGTAGTGTAAACCTCCAGTAGTAATGCAGGAGGCTATCATTTAAATTCAGGGGCTCTGTCTGGGTGTGCTGTTGTATGTCCACTGCTGAGGTTACTCACGCAGAGTTCTGTTGATAGGTTTATGAGCGCATGTAGATGTTGCCCATAACACGGCAGATATGGAGCTTCTGAAGCTAGTCTGAGCTGGAACCAGAAATCTCTACTCAGCCTAAAAAACAACACTTTGAACTGATAGAGGTGGCATAAGGATAGTGGTCAGAATCTCTGAGTAGAAAAGCAAAGATGGGAACTAAGTCAAATGATAAAATGCTGATACCTCCAGGGCATCGTAGGGTGCACAGGACAAACAAGCCTGCACAGAATAGACTCAGGAAAGCCAACTCTAGTACCATCTGTCATGCTGACTTTGGTTTGATATTGAGAATTGCAATCTTGTTTCGAAGGGACTACCAAGCCTAAAAATGTGCGCACACACACACACACACAGTGGGACAGTCATAGATACAAGCAGACAATCAGTTTGAATGCATTAATACCAGAGTAATCTCATTTAACATCCGATACCTGTCTGCATTGTTGCCGCTAAGGACAGGACTCCTGCACAGACCAGCAATGGGCAGAAGGGAGCTGAGCTGCCTTCTGCCTCACTTCTCCACTGGCTCTGTCAGTAGCCTCGTGCAGCCGTAGCCATGAATGCAGCATCTTTAAAGAGGCAGTCTGAGTGAAGCCAGTACAAAAGGCATTATAAATCACCATGAATGGCTTTTCTCCATGTTCTGCTCAGATGAGGTTTCTCGAGGTTTGGGATTTCTGTTTGTTCTTTGTTTTCACATGCCACTGTGTTTCTGATTTCTAGATAGGATGACAATCACTGCTTTAAAGTGTCTCCATTTTTGTCAGCACAATTCTACTAAGCTTTTATGGAAATGCCCCATCAGAGTTTGATTTTATCAAGAGCTCCATCTAGGTCAACTCAAAATGTTCACAACCTAGGGAGGTCAGATGAATTTTAATAAACAGCACTGAATCCCATATCTTAAACTTTGAGATTTAATTTTACCACAGAAATGTGAGCTCTGAGGCAATGAAATTGGGGCCAGGCAATCCACAGAAATTTGAGCTCTGTTTCACTTCTCAGTGCCAAATAGAGATATTTATTTCCAAACTCCCGCTGCCACCAATTGCATCAACTGGTATATTGCCTGCTTTGCCTTCACAGTTAACTAATTAGATACCAGTGCCTGCTTCAAATAATGACTTCCTTCAAATAGCTAACATTTCAAATTCAAGCATTAGGCATTTCATGCAACTTCATCCTAAGAATTTTTTTTTTTTAAATCACTTTGCAACACCAACTGGTTGATAAAAAGATGTGGAGCATTTGTATTCCTGAACCCATTCTGTATTTATTCTAGTTCTTTCCTGTCATGGTTTAACTCCAGCTAGCAACTAAGTACAACACAGCTGCTTATTCACATCCTTGTACCTCAAATGGGATTGGGAGGAGAAGAGGAAAAAGGTAAAACTCATGGGTTAAGATAAGAACAGTTTAATAATTGAATTAATTTATAATAATAATAGTAATCATAATGAAAATGAGAAAGAGAGGGAGGAATAAAAGCCAAGACAGACAAGTGATGCACAATGCAATTTCTCACCACCCACTGACTGATGACAAGCCTGTTCCTGAGCAGAGATCATGCCCTCCTGGCCAACTGTACCCAGTTTATATACTGAGCATGATGTTCTGTGGTATGGAGTTACCCTTTCACCAGCTGGGGTCAGCTGTCCTGACCATTCTCTCTCCCAGCTTCTTGTGCACCTGCTCCCTGGCAGAGCATGGGAAACTGAAAAACCCTTCACTTAGGGTAATCCCTGCTCCACAACAGCGAAAGCATCAGTGTGTTATCAACATTATTCTCATACTAAATCCAAACCACAGCACTGCACCAGCTACTAGGAAGAAAGTGAAAACTATCCCAGCCAAACCCAGGACATTTTCTTTCAATAAATATGAAGTCTGTATTGAATGGTTGTCTTTCCCTGTTTTACCCAGGATTTAACATGATGATTGTAAAGTAAAACCAGGCACTAGTAGTAAGGATTTCAAAGTAGTCAGGGAGCAGTATTAAGGTTTCATTTGAGCTTAGTTCCAAGTGATACAACTCCACCATCACACATGAATGAATTTGGCCCAAACAAGATCAATCCTACAACTAGATGATTTTTAAAAGGTTTATCTGCAATCTTATGATACTTTATCTATTCACTGTCATCTGCTATTAGGATAGACTTGGACTGGAAACTCCAAGTGGAACAAACTTCCTTTTACTTACCCACAGAGAAAACCTAAATGTTTGTTTCCAAATTTCACAAAGATCCACTTCAAAGACTTAAGATTAACTCAGATTAAGGCATGCTTGTACAATGACCAAACAGCTGAAGTATGACTGGCTACACAACAATTTACCATTAGGGATTTCAGTGAGGCCACAAATCTGCAGAGAAACAAAGGACCAAGAGAGGAAATCCATATGAAGAGACCGTATTTCTTGTCTTCTAGGGAAGAGCCATCAGTCAGCGCCTCCTGGCTCTGCCCAGGAAGCTGAAAACACCCTCATGTGAGATATTAATTGCAATATTCCTTAAAATAACCCCTTGGAGCTTGGAATTTCCATCTGAGACTTGGGCTCATTACACAGTCTCTCTTCTCATGCATCCTTGCTCATAAAACAGCTCTTAAGCCTACAGGGCAAAAAAGAGTTTGATGGTGCTGCTGTACACTTCAGATGGTTTTGTGCTCCCAGACCAACCTGTGAAGAAAAATGGCTGGTGGGAGAGGGAGAAGCTATCCTGGCACCTAACTGACAACAGCAAAATATTTACCCATTCTTCTGTAGGGTGCAATTAGAAACTGTTCTTCAACCCTACAAAACCAAAGATGGACGAAAAAGGTCTTAAAACAGTGATAAATTGTGAAATGCTAAGCTGAAACAGTAGTGGAGACTGGCCAAAAGTTAATGAGCTGAAGGTGAATTCAAGACTAAGAAATGGGAATTAATTGTGGTGACCAGAACAGAACCGACAAGGGAGGAGTACTGGAGAGCTGAGTAATTAGGAGCAAGAGAGGCAGAATGAAGCTGGTGGATTGCCAGCCTGTTGGCCACAGCCGTACTGAGTTGGAATTAAAACCCAGGAAATCAGGCAAAATCAACTGTGAGTGGTCCTTTAAAACACAACAACTACATTTTTTTTCAGCTAAAAAGCAATAGTGTACAAGCAATAATACCAAATTTCTGGAGTTGCCTTTTTCAAATTGCACCTCTAATAGTCTGAAATCATGAGACATAAATGCCAAATAATCCCCTAAGAAATAACAAATAGGAGGGCAACAACCAGCTCCAGAAACAAGACCTATGCAAGGAATGCATTTAAGATGTTTATTTATTAAAAATTATTAAAAAAAAAATTAAGCCAAAGTAGACCACCAAAGGGAGAGAAGGCTGTTTTCTACAGGTAACTGGAATTAGGAGTTGGGAAAGCCAGTGATTTATTTGTGGCTCTTCCAATTATTTATTTTTATGCATAGTGAATAACAGCTGTTTGAATTTATATTTTTAAATTGTCATATTTTTTATGTCCCTTCTAGCTGAAGATTTTGTGCATAGAACTAACCCTGGTCTTATTAACATAGGTGTGTAAAACATAGGAATTTTACTAAAGGAAATTTAATAGCTACAGGGACTTAAATAAAATAAGGCTCTAATCCCAACAAGTTCAAGGGAAATTATCAACAAATTCTTTGAATATATTCTGTGTCCACAATTCATTTAAGCAAGTTGCTAAGTGGTTGTGACTCACACCAGTCTGCTGTTTGATCTCACTGCTGAACAGACTGCTTTTGTCTCCTGTGAGTTGAAAATAGGTGGAAGTCCCAATATTAAAGAGGTGAAGTGGAAGAGAAGATGATTTCTCTGAGACTGGATTCCCCCTCCTCATGATGTTTCAGACTGTGGAGTCCTCAAATGACATGTGTACAACTAAATGGGTTTTGTTTTTATAGACATCGACTGGAGGGCTGCAGAGTCTCTCCAGACAGTCATTATCTCTACAAAGAAAACTACAAAGTTTTTTTTTTTCTAATATCTAAACTGAATCTTTGCTTTGATTTATCCCTTTATTTTTGACCAGGCTGCTACAGTCACTATTATAATATGTTCCCAGCATAAATGGACATTTTAACATTACAGTCTCCTTTGGTTTTCTCACTGGTGTTTTCTGAAGTGCTGAGTGACTTCATCACTCCAACTTTCTTGGAGGATGGTGCCCAGATCCCTTGCAATCTAATGTAGATGATCATTCCCCTTTGTGTATAGCTGACTCTTCTTGGGTCAGTCCATCGGTTATCATCCTCATTTTTCAGATCATCTTTATCTTTTCCCAAGGGTAATTTTTTTTTTGTTCTACCTGTACAATACTTGCAGTCCTTTTATCTACAGGGTGAGAGTGAGGAGTCCGCTGGCTTGATTCTTTAGCACAAAC